GAGCCACGCCCCATGCATTTGAAATTCATAGCGATTTACGTGATTTGCAAAATATTATTTATTGTCAACGCTAGCTAAATGTGTGTGCGTGTGTGTGTGCTGGCAGCGATAAGGCCAATGCCATTTGCATACGGCATACAAAAGGAAGCGCGTTGCGGAAATAAAAATCGCTAACAAATAGCAGCAGCAGCAGCAGCGGCAGCAGCGAGTCGCGTGCCAGCCGCATAATTTGCAGTTGTCTTTATATTGTGGCATACTTACAGGCGGCGCACAAAAGTGCCACACACACACACATAGGGAAAGAGTGAGAGATAAAGCTGGCAACACGCTGCCTCATTTGTTGTTATTTATGCTGAGCCTTGGCATTGGGAATACCCGCCGCCTCACACCCGCCCAATGCGAATACGAAGCACATTTGTGCTGCAATTACAGCTGTGTGCGTGTGGGTGTGTGTGTGTGTATGGCAGCTGTGCCTCGTATGCAAACATCTCATAATAATAAACATGCCCGGGCGCAACTTCTTTTCGATTTTTTTTCTCTTTTTATGGCCGCTCAATTGATACAAGAAATTATGTTTTTGATTTTTATTGCGCTGCCAAACATATGATGTTCATACAAACACATACTCACACGCACACCAATTATATAGCTGCCTTTGCATATGGCGGGATTATATATATAAACATTTCCATTTGGCCTCGCTCGAAGAAGAACTTCAAACTCAAATTTAATAAGCATTGCTTTCACATTTCACATTTCACTCTCACTCCGACTCTGACTTCGACTCCAACTCCGACTCTCTAGCTGCTCTCGTAAGCCACATATGTGGCTAGGGTTTATGATATTCACATCTACACATTTATAAGCAATGCAAATACACAAATAAAAGGCAGCGAGACATGAATACAATTGATTTTGCTTATTTTTCTTTATCGGCAACCCCTAATTGGGCAGCAAAGCAGCCTTAAGGGATATCTAATAGTCGCATAACTGGGCGCTTAGTTAAGCAAATTCTGTATAGTCATACAAAATTCGAAATATTATTACAAGAATAATTTTCAAACAAAATTCTTAGCTGACACCTATTGTAGGGTATTTAAAAATCCTATTGCACAAGTAATTTACATAGAAATTATTAATTATGTTGGCGATTCTTAAAATTCTTGAATTCGTGAATTCTTCATTGAGCAGTCCGCTGATATATTTGACAGGGTATGTATTAGTCAGAGAACAATGATAATGAGGCGAGCTACTTAGCAGAGACTAAAAGTAAATTCAAGAATCTACGACTATTATATACCCTGCGATAGGTATCTAACAGTCGCCTATTCTCCAACTAGCCATTCTCGTTTCATTTCAATTGATGCTGACTACAAAAGCTCACCCGCTGAGAGAGCGCTAATCGCTTATCGTTTACGATCTGTAGCTGAGTCTGGGCTATAGCTTCAGAGCATTCGGTTCGCATCGGGTGATACCAGATATAAGGTTTTATATTTCATTAATTTTTTTTTTACTTTTTTTTTTTT